CCCTGTACGTATAGGTAGTATCTAAAGATAGATATCTAGTATATAGGGTAAACGTAATTTGAGAATGTCCTACATGTTTACATTAACGATCTTTTGTTTGCACGTCCGGCGCAGATATTCAAATAATTCAAAGTACAAGAATATTACATTAATAAAAATTTTCCAATGATGTTTACCGGTTTAATTTTCACTTTATAATGGTACACGAATGAAAACACATCTAGCTAAGATTTTCTGAACACTTTGTATATTTATCTCAGAAATTGATTGCCAAAGTGCCGTTGTACATTCAGTTTCCTTTTATTTTTATTAGTACCTAACTGATAGTTTAATCTTATCTGATGTATTAATGTTTATACATATTTGTTACGTTTTCTTAATATTTTGGAAACAAATGAAACGATAATTTTTGGTCAGTTAAAAATTCTAAACGTTAGAGGTTGGTCGATTTGTTGGTTACTTAGTTAGGCATTTACATAGAAATACTGACTGTATGTATTTAAATGGTGACCGTACATTATATTTTAATATATGTTAGGCCCGAAGACCGAAAACGCTCAGTGGCCGGAAAAAACGGCCACTTCGCGTTCTGGCTGTCTTCGAACGCACAGAACGCGTTTTGGCTGTTTTTAAACGCTCGCAACGCGTTCTGGTAACTGTTAAACAGCCGAAACGCGTTTTGTCAATTGTTGAACGCTATCAACGCGTTCTTAATGTTCGACTTGTATTATTTGCCGCTTTCTACCTGCGTACAATGAGATTTATATTGTACTTATAAAACAAATGAATTTCAATCCATTTTTCAGTTTTTAGGAAACAATTCAATTATTGACAACTATAATTGGATACCAAAGATGGGTTCGGTTTTTCTCGGCGAATCATTTCAACAATATTAAATTTCTTAAAATTGTTTTTCAGTTCTATGAAGAAAGTTACACTGAACACTTAGTAGTTTGAGTATATAATAACTAACTTAACTTCATGAAAAATCAGTACAGTTCTCGTCAGTGTAGCGAGAAGATNTACATCTCTTCTCGTAAAATACAAATCTTTGTTAAATACTTTGATTTGTAGAGAAATTTCAATGTAGGAAACTCCACCGCTGAAGTGGCGTGCGTGGTAGGCAGGTATAAAAATATGAGTAATCATTTTAAGTACAGGAAACTAGTACATAATAAGCCTACTTGTTTTTAACTGGTATAATACTTAAAGGAATTTTGCCAAAGACGTGAACTGTTTTCTACTTTCTTTTGTTTTTTTTTTTTCTTTGAAATAGACTGTATATTAACTGCGCCAGTCAATAGTAAAAAGTTGAGCGTTATATTTCAATTGCATGTTTTGTTTTTAAATGTGGTGATAGTGAAAGTTTACATATTAAGAAATAGATTTCTATTACAATAACACTTGCATAAATTATATTATTTATCTATCAATATCTCTTGTATTTATTATGCATTTTTTGACAAATATGTAAAAATGCATTCCACTTGTAAGACATTAGGCAAATAAAAATTGTAAATGGTAACTTCTTAAGTAGGAACATTTTGAAAAAAATTTGAATCAACAATTTCTTGTTCCCACTGCGGTTAAAGTTCAAGTGCAGAAATGAAACAATTTCCAATTACGTTATTCTAACAATGTGTACCATAAAATATACCTACCCACCAAAAGAATTTAATAAATTAGTATCTTGAATTGTTTTGGACATTTTGTAGGCGCTACATCAAATGAAATTGATTAAAACATGATAAGCGTGATCTATATTTTATTGTTTTACTTATTATATTTTGAGGAAGAACGTCATAGGGTGTTACCCAATTTGGTGTAGACAAAAGATATTCTTTCTTGTTATAATCTCATCAATTTTCCGGAAATTGTATTACTCATACAGATACAACTCATTTAAAGATATACATATGTGTATTTACATGGATAAGAAACTGCGTAAGATCACACCATCACCGTTTTGACTACACAAGAAGCATAAGTAAAAAAAATCTCAAATAAAACGACTCTACTGTTCCACACAGGCACAATGTCATTTCTTCCCCTGGTGCGTTTTTCACTACCTATCGTCCTGAAAGTGAAATTTTCTTGGGTAAATAATTCAATCATGCTCGTAAAGAGAAAAACCTCGATCTGCATATTTTTGTATCATTAGATAAATAGAGGAAGTGGGAAGGAGGGGGGAAGCGATTCTAGCTTTACGGGTAACAGCAGAGAATACGATAGAAAAAGGAAAGAGTGCATATATAGGATTTGTAGTTTTAGAGAAAGCTTTTGGCAATCTTAAATGGGACAAGATGTTAAATATATTCAAAAATGTAGGGATGAGTTACAAAGATAGAAGAGTGATACTTAGTTTGTATAAAGAGCAACAGGCAGTTATAGAGCTAGGGATGCAACATAGAGAAGTAAATATTAGGAAGGGAGTCAGACAGGGATGCACACTGTCACCGCTACT